CGTGTCCTCGAGGTCTCTGTCCTTTCCCCCTCGGACCCGGCCCCCAGCGGCGGTGAGTGCGAGGCGAGGGAGCGGGGTGGGGGGAGAGGGAGGGAGCAGCCTGACGCTCCTCCCCAGGCCCGGCTCCTGCCCCCCCAGGGCTGCCCCCGTCCGGCGGTGGGGGTGGTTCGGTTGGGCAGTGCTGCGTGAGGGGAGCGGAAGGGTGGGCGCGGGGATGGGCCGCCTCCCCCCCCCTTCACCTCTTCTCCCCGGCCAGCCCCGCCCTGCCCCGCCCCTCCCCGCCGTCGGGGGGGGTGGGGGTGGCTCCGGGACTGTGGATCCCCAACCTGTCTCCACCCGGTTCTCCCTGACAGGACAGGACAGGTCGGTTGTCTCATCTCTTGTAGCTGGGGACTGGGGGGGCCGGGGGGGGGGGGGACGACAAACCATCTGGCAGGAAGTGGACGCACCCTCCTCCCCAGATCTCCCCTTCCCCCACAGCATCAGTTTCCCCTATGTCTTCTCGAACCCTAGGCCTGAGGAAAAGAGAAAGCGAAAATATGGAGGAATGATAAGGTCAGCCCCGCCCTCCCCCCTCCCCCAGCATTTTCTCCTTTCGGTCCGACGCCCCTCATCCCTGGGTCTAGTCTCGCAAACCTGTGGGACAGGAATCCAGGGCCCAGCCCCCTCCCCCTTGCGCTCGAGAGCACCATGCCTGAACCTTGGGAAGGCTGGAGAGGTAAAGGAAGAAGTGTATTCCATCCCTAACCTGGGGGGGTCCTGCCAGGGGGAAGGGTGGGCCCCAAGCGCCTTTCGGCCCCGCCCCCAGCCTCCCCTCTCCCCCCTCCTCACCCCCTCAGAGCCCCCTGGGCCGCCAGGCAAAGGGTGAAAGGTGGAGGCTTTCTCCTCCTCCCTCCCCAGCTAGCTAGCTAGCTGCCGAGCAGGTTAGCAGGCTGGGCCTAGGCTCCCAGCGAAAACCTTCCTGTGCTGCTTCTCCCTGGCCTGCCTCGGCCCGGACCCAGGAAGGAAACCCCACAAGTGGTGAGGAAAGCAGATGGCTCGTCAGGGAAGTGAGGGGGCCTGGGGGTGGGCACTGGGCCGCGAGGATGCAGGGAAGGGCAAGCATTTTTTCCCAGGCGCTTTGAGATCTTTCACTTAGGAGTAGGGAGGGTACTCCCAAAGAGAACCCGGCCTCCTCCCCAGAAGCAGCAGCAGACCTACAGAAAAACTCACACACAACCCCCCCAGGAGCTTCTCTGCCCTCCTGCCCGCCCCCAGGAGCTAGCCTGGCTTTCCCGAAAGCTGCTCAGGGGATGTATTCCTTAGGTCAGAGCCACGTGAGGCCAGAGTGGTCCGGCGTTGGGGGGGGCCGCTTGAGCCAAGATCTTGGGGGCCAAGGGCTTCGCAGGACCACCTCTTGGCAGCTGAGGACTTACGGAGGGAAGTGGAGATTGAGGAGCCAGCTGAGAGCTTGGGCTGGTTAGGGAGGAGGGGAAAGATTGTGGCAGTGGCAGGCCAGGTCATTCCCCTCCAGAGACACCTCAGCTTGGGGAGGCGCCCCCAGAAGCCCTGGCTGGCCCTGCCCCTCATGGGATGCTTTTGCTGTGGGTTGGCAGCAGCTGGTCTTCATTTGCCCCCCCCCCCCCAAGGTGGAGAGTTTGGGGGGGTGGAAAATGCCAAGTGGAGAAGAGGAGGAGCTCCCCACCTCCTACTCAGGGCTGAACCCTTGTTTATGTGTCTCTTCTGGACTTTGCTTCTCCGCTTCCTGACTCATTCCTGACCAGGACCTAAGGAAAAGCTAAGGCAGCAGTGGATTTGGAGGGCCGAGGGAGAAAGACGAGACAAGCTGCCAGGTGCCCTTGCTTTCCTCCCTCTGTACCCCCTCTGGGCCACCCAAGAGGAGGTCTGTGCCAGCAAAGGGCAGAGGGAGCTTTTTGCATCCCATGGGATAGAGGAGAACTTTAAGGCTGCCTGCTCCCCCCCCCGAAAAAAATCCCAAAAGCACAACCTAACCCCGAAGTAGGAGTCAGGAGGCTAAAATCACAATCCAAGGGTCTGAGGGCCGGCTGAGTGGGGAGAACAGCTGGGTCCCTGGCAGCAAGAGCTTCTCCTCACCCAGGCCCTGTCCAGCTAGACGTCTCTACCTCCTTTCACCTGCCTTAGGATGGAGGTCAGAGGGCAACTCATCAGCTCCCCAAGCTACAACTGTCCAGGTACAAGCCCCAGGGATGTGGGTTGGGGGGAGAAAGCCCCTGGGTGGCAGGGCTAGACTGACTCCCTAGGGCGTGGTTTAGGGTATTGGCTAACTCTGGGTGGGAGGTCAGATGTGAGGGCAGATGGACTCCAGCCTGCTTCCTGTCCCACTGAACAGCACTGCCCCTGGAAGAGAGCCCCCCAGTTAAGGTGGAGAGACTTCGGGTGCTGCTGGAACGGCAGCGGGGCCTACAGGAAACCCTCAGTCTAAAGCTTCGAGAACTCCGAAGGGTCTGCCTGCAGGAGGCGGTGGGTGAAGGGACCCTAGAACTTGGGATGGCGGGCCGGCCAAGAGGGGAGCCCCGTGATAACCTCCTTACCCCACTCCAGGAGCTGACAGGCCGGCTTCCTGCTGAGTACCCCCTGGAGCCTGGGGAGCAGCCTCATCCTATCCGGCGCAGGGCTGCCCCTATGCCCTCGCAACCCCGGGGACTCTGCTCCTCTGGGGTAAGTGGCTGAAGCTCCTCGGGAAGGGGCAGTGGAAAAGGGAGCGGAACTCAAAGGTGTTGGGGGGTAGAAATATGGAGGGCCGGCGGGGGCTGCTTGGGGGTGAGATCTAGAGCCCGAGGCTCCACCCTCGCCTTTTCATTTCCCTGCCTCTGTGGTCCTTTCTGTGGCGCAGGTACTGGCACTGGAGACGCTAGAGAGAGAGGTATCAGTTCAGAGGCAAATCGCTGCGGCCGCCAGACGTCTTGCGCTAGCCCCAGAGCTGAGCGTGGAGCAGCGGCGGCGGCGGCGGCAGGTTCAGGCAGATGCGTCACAGAGACTTCTTGAACTGGAGGAGCAGCTGAGGGCCAGCCGGGCTGTTTTGGGCCTGCCACTTACCATGCTGCCAGGCCATGGAGGTACTGGACTTCCTGGGCTCCGAACCCGAGTAGCTCAGCTTAGCCAAGGTGAGTGACATACCTCTACTGGAACTAACCAATGGAGATAAAAGAGAGAGCAGCTCAACGGTAGCTAACAGAAGAGGGGCCAAGGCATGGGCAGTGTGGGCCCAGGGGACTGGTGACTCCCAAAACTGGCCCCTGCTTTCTTCCCCTAGATGATGCCTCCCGCTCAGAGAGCAGTTCTCTCTCAGAGTCGGCGAGCCATGAGAATGGTGAGTGTGATCTGTGGAGGATGGCTGGGAGGAGCAGAAAGCCAGAACCCACCTGCCCCGCCAAAATGGCCCTGCTTTGTGTCCCCTTGCCCTCAGAGGATCCCCACAGTGAGTGGCCTGCACTCCCAAAGGTTCGGGACCAGTTGCGAGCTTCAGTATCGGCGGGGGGCAGCCCCGAGCGTCGCCCACCATGGAAGGCGATGCCCCCTCTGCCAGCTGCTGAGCTCTACGGAGACCTGAAGAGCCGGAGGAATTCCGTGGCCAGCCCTACCAGGTGATCACGTAGGAGAGAGTTGGACAGTTCAGAGGGAGGGTCCTTCAGAAAGCAGGTGTCAAGCCCCTCCCCCGGGGACTGGAGACCACTGATCGTTGCTTGTTCCCCACTGACAGCCCCACCAGGACCCTTCCCAGAAGCATATCAAGCTTCGAGGGCAGAAGTGTGCCCGCCACGCCTGTCCTGGCCCGGGGCCCTGCACCCCAGCTCTGTAGGTAAGGCCCACCAAGGCCAGGAGGAGAGGAAGGCCAGACGTTTCAATCTCAGTGACATGGTTTAGAACCAGGGTCTGTGGCTAGATTGAGGCGGGGGGGGGGGGGTATCAGGGGTCTATGAACTTGGACGGGAGCAAACGGTATCTTCAACAGGATCGGCTTCAGACTTTATTTTATGCATTTAGAAACAAGATCGTTCCAAGCAGGGCTCCATGGGCTTCTCCAACAGGCGGCTAGACAGGTGACACCAAAAACTTGCTGTTCTAATTCCCTCATCTGCTGTAGAACAAGGTTGCCAAGAATGCAAACCTCTGAGCACAGCAAGGAGGTCCTAGTCGACCTGTTACAAGACAGCGTTTAATGGGGCTTACACACTGTCCGATCCGAACCCTTCCTTTTATAGAGGGGGACGCTGAGGCTCCAGAGAGAGAGGGCGCCCGCTCAGGCTTTGAGTTGAAGGCAGGGCTGGCGAGTGGCTCCCCGTTTCTTTCTGATTGGCCCCGTGACCTCACTGCATTCCCCCTCTCTCCTGTCCCAGGCTGGAGGGCCTTCACTCCCGCCAATGGTCTGGCAGCCAGGACTCTCAGATGGGCTTCCCACACACAGATGGGCCTTGGGAGCGCGCTTTCCTCGTCTCTGGCCGAACCCGCCGGAGCAACAGTTCTGAGGCCCTGTTGGTCGACCGAGGTGCTGGGATCTCCGGCTTTGCGTGTGCTCGCCTGCCCCAAGAAGGCCCACCAGTGTCCCCACCGTGCAAAAGCAATGAGAGTATTTTTGAGCGACCAGCCCCAGTGCCCCCCCCAGCGTTCTCTTCTCGAACAACTGGGCCTCCGGACCCTCCCCGGGCTGCTCGGCCCAGTTCAGCTGCCCCTCCAGCTCCCCGGGGGCGGCCCCTGCCGGCCTATGGTGACCTGCTACTTGATTACTACTTGGCCCGGGGTGGACAGTTCTGGCCTGAGGGCCCAGGCCACCTTTCCTGCAGGGACGGTCTCCTTGTCTTCTTTCCCCCAGCTCCCTCAGCACTTCAAGGGGATAGTGGGGGTGGCATTGGCAGCCCCCTCCTTCGAGCCAAGGACCCAACACCCCATGGAGGCCCTGGGCGTGGGCTAACCAGTCGCACTAAGTCTGATGATGGGGGCCCACTGCCTGGTTCCTTCTGGGCAGGCCCTGGGCCAACCCGTTACCACAGCCAGCCAGACCAGTCAGCTGCTGACCCCCGGGGTGGTCACAAGGCTCTGGCCCTAGAGGGCCTCCGGGACTGGTACATTCGAAACGTGGGCTCGACAGGAGGGAGTGCTGTGGCAGGTCTTCACCCCTCAGCCCGGGGCCTCCTTCCAGAGGGTCAGGCCCTGCATCCTTCTCCATTCTCCTGGCCTCACTCTAGCTACCCCCAAAGCCTCCTGCTGCATACTGCCCATGGCACTGAGGCTAGCCCTGAGCCATACTTGGGCTATGCTGGAGTGGCCCTGCCCTCAGCAGCGGCAGCGGCAGCGACAGCCCTACCTCACTCCCTCAGCTTCACAGCGCCTCCTGTCTCTGGCAGGTACTGAGTGAGGGTGCCCTGGGGGAGGGTGGTGGACTTGGCACTCCAGGGCATGAGGAGGTGGGAACGAGGGAGAGCCCAGTTCTCTGCTCTGCTGTCTTTCTGTTTTCTCTAATGTTACTCTCTTCTCTCTCTGTCTCTGGCTCTGTCTGTCCCTGTTTCTCTTGTCTTTCTACTCCTCTCCCTTGCCCTCCCCCCACCCTAAGACACTACACAGACTTCCTGTACCCCCCAGAGCTGAGCTCCCACTTAAGTGACCTGGCATTGGAAGGGGATCGGCCCCTGGACTCAGATCCTCGAACCCCAGGGACGTTGGTCTGACCCATCTTACCCTGGAGACGCTGGTCTGACATCCCAGTAACCCCAGCTCCCCCTGGGGATGCTAGCCTGGATTCCTAATGGACCCTTGGGATGCTAGCATCATGTCTTTGTGAACCTTTCCCTGCACGGATCCCAGGGATGCTGCTTTGACCCCCCTGCCCTCTTACCCTGCCCTTTGCTTCCTGAACACTGGGGCAGCTACCACCATCCTTCCCAAGCCCCTGCTACACACCCATTTCCCATCTGCTGTGAGATGGGAAGTGGCCTAAATACAGTGCAGGGCCCCTCCCTCTCTTTTCTACCTGCTGTGAGGAAGCAAGAGAGCCCCCAACTATGCGGATGCCAGTGTGCTCTGACCTCCCTCCCCCTCCCTGTGCCCACATGAGGAGGGGGCATGGGCTGGATGCCTGCGTGGCATCTAACCTACTGCCCTGTCTCCTCTCATGGACATCAGGCCTCCAGATGGAAGCAGGTGCCAGGCTCAGCCACCTGGCTTTGGGGGCAGCGGGGAGGATTTCTCTCCAAGGCGAGCTGTGCTCAGTCTTCCAGGCTTCATGTTTGTTCCTCGTGGGTGTCAGGGGCAGAAAGCCCAGCAGCCATCAGAAGTCCCCTGCTTAATGGCTGTGAAGACACTGGGCAGGGGGGAGGTGGGGAAGCTCATTAGTGGGGGAGGAGCAGCCACCCTGCCCCCCCTCCGGAGGCCGCCCCCCCCCCCCCACTCCAGGATAAAGACTTTACGTTCCAGTGGTGGCAGCAACGAGGTGAGACCCGCCTGTGCCTCATCTCCTGAAGATGAACAGTGCCACACAGACACCTTTCTGCTGCCCCTTTCTCCTGTCTCACTGTTGTGTTGTCTGTCTGGACAGCCCTGCTCCCCAGGAGACGGAAGGAGAAGCTTTCTTTTTTTGGAGGGGGAGTACGAATGGACCCCTCCCCCCAGCCTCTGGCTGGCATCAACACTGGAACACTAGGGGTTTCTCTAATAAACAGGTGAATGGTACTGGCCTCTGCCTCCCTGATTGTCTCCAGCCTCCCCAAAACCTTCCATTCCCCTGCCCCTTTCAAGATCAAGCCTGGCGCTATTTGGATTTTGGATCTTCAAGAGCCAGAAAGGTGCTTACAGATGAGCTCCTTCAAGGCTTCCCCCTTCCTGCCCCCCCACCCCACCCCAGGGCCATTTCAGCAAGAGAGATTTGGAACCACAGGGGAAACTGAGGTCCTCCAAACTGTAGGAGGGACTTAAGATGGTAGTCACAGGTCCGGAAAGTCCCTGGACAGAAATGCCTCCAACCCTCTTTAAGATCAGACATGAGTTAAACGTGAGCTCCTCCTCCACCCATCTGAGCTACCTGTCGAGCTGGTCCGTGACTGTCCCTCCTCCAGAATTCCATTTTGAATGTCTCTCATTCCAGTCATAATCTCAGATCCCACCTTTGCTTCTGCCTTACGACACTCAGCCTGATTCTCATCCTTCCACCCTCAGCTCTTTCCCAGGCCTTCCACGCAGGTTAGACCCACTTGGTGAACAAGTTCAACTCAACACCATCCTCCGTGTTCAAATCTCTAGCTCCCTTGTTCTATTGACAACTGTGTCCTGCCAAGCCCCAAAGCTGGACTACTCCCACCTTCCACCACATTGGCTCCCACTCACACAGTGCTGGATAAAGCTCACAGATCTAGGTTGAATGGGTCCACTACAAATAAACTTTTCTTAAAATCTTCACTGGGCCCTCACCAAAGCAAGGCAATCCATTTATACCCCCTGATCAATTTGCTAGGGGCAGCTAGGTGTCAAAGTGGATAAAGTGCCAGGCATGGAGTCAGGAAGACCTGAGTTCAAATCCAGCCTCAGACACTTCCTAGCCGTGTGATCCTGGGCAAGTCACTTCACCCTGCTGGCCTCAATTTCCTCATCTGTAAAATGAGCTGGAGAAGGAAATGGCAAATCACTCCAGTATCTCTACCAAGAAAACCCCAAATGGGGTCACAGAGAGTCAACCAGGACTGGAACAACTGAAAAATCAATTTGCTCTCCCACTTACTACCATGGCTCTTCCCAACTTTTTCCTCCTTCCTCAGGCTTCTCATGGCTCCCCCTCCCCCCACCCCCTCAGCCAAAGACCTCATTCATATTTCCCTGAAAAAAATTGAAAGCGTTCACCAAGAGCTCCCTCTTCTTCCCTCCTTGTCTCACATCATTCAGAACTCTAGCTCCTACTTAGTAAATCCCAGTGGTTCTCTGTCACCTCCAGGATCAAATACAAAATGCTCTTCGTGACCTAGTGCCCCCTCCCCCCCCCCCAACTGCCTTTCTGGGCTTAGAACTTATTCCCACCCCCATCCCCCATGTACTCTGCCATGCAGTAACTCTGGCCTCCTGACTATTCTTGCACAAAACACTCTGGGCAGCTTTCTAAGGCTGTCACCCTCCTCATCTCCCACCTCCTGGCTTCCCTGGCTGCCTTCAGGTCCTGGCTCTAATCTCACCTTTTCCAGGAAGTTTTTCCTGATTTTCCTTAATTGTAGTGTTTTCCCTCTGTTAAGGATCCTCAATTTACCCTGTCTGTATGTTTATATATAGTTGTTTGCATGTGGTCTCCCCCATAAGACTGTGGGCCCCTTGACAACAAATACGGTCTTTTAGCTCTTTTTTGTAGCCCTTAGCACAGTGCCTGGCACATGGTAGGGGCAACATGTTTCTTGACTGTCTTTCACAAAGAGGTAGCCCTCCTTTCCAAGGCAAAGCCCTCTATGGGCATCCTTGGTTTCATCCTTGTCTCATCCCCTTACCCCCATTATCATCTCTACTCTCTAATCTTCAATTTCTCCTTATCTACTCATTCCTTCCCTACTACATATAAACATACCCCTATCACCGCCGTAACAAACAAAACAAAACAAAACAACTCCTCACTTGATCTGACCATCCCTGCTAGCTCTCTTCCCCTTCTTGGTTAAACTTCTTGAAAAACCCATCTACACTTGCTACCTGTACTTCCTCCCCTTTTATTTTCTTAACTGTCTGCAATTTGGCTTCCAACCTCATCATTCAACTGAAACTACTCTCTCCACAGTTACCAAGGATCTCTTAGTTAGTTGCCAAGTCCTAACCCTGTCTTCCCAATCAACTTCTCCTTGACTTCGCTGTTGCCTTTGATAGCGTTGAGCACTATGTCCCTGATACTCTCACCTCTCCTGAACTTCTTTTGCTGGTTCTTCACCCAATTCACTCCCACTAACCCTGGGTGGCCCCCAAGGCTCCTTCCTGAGCCCTCTTCTCTTCTCCCTTTATACTCTGTCACTCATGGATCTCATCCGCTCTTGTGGCTTCAATTATCATCTCTAGGAAGTGATTGCCAGATCTGCAGTCTCACAACTCCAAATACTGATTAGATGAATCGACCCAGATGTCCTCAAACTCAACATGTTCAAAATATGGCTCATTATCTTTTCCCCAACCTCTCCCTTACGTCCCCATTACTGTCGAGGACACCACCATCCTCACAGGTTCCCAGTCTGGCACTCACCCCATGTGTCTAGTCAGCTGCCAAAACTTGTCATCTTTACCTTCCTGACATCTCTTCTACGTGTCCTCCTTTCTCCACTCATACAGCCACAACCTTCGTTCTGGCCCTCTTGCCCTCAACCTCCCAGGGTTGTGAGGATCAAATGAGCTAATATTTGTAAAAACACTTAGCACAGTGCCTGGCACGTAGGAGACATTTAATGAATGTTTATTCCCTCCCCTCTTTTGTTGTTCAGTTATTTTTAGTCTGTCCGACTCTCCGTGACTCCATTTGGGGTTTTCTCGGCAGAGATACTGGAGTGGTTTGCCATGTCCTTCTCCAGTTCATTTTACAGATGAAGAAACTGAGGCAAATAGGGTGAAGCGACTGGTCCAGGGTCACACAGCTAGGAAGCGTCGGAGGCTGAATTTGAACTCAGGAAATCTTCCTCACTCCAGGTCCAGTGCTCTATCCACTGCAGCACCACCTAGCGGCCCATTCCCTTCCCTCTAGACTATTGCAATAGCCTTCTGGCTGGTCTCCCTGCCTCAAGCCTCACCTCCCCCACATCCATCCCTTAGCTGTCGAAGCAATCTTCGTAAAGTCCAGGGCTGCCACGTCACTCTTCTGCCTGATGATTTCCAGTGGCTCGTAAAGGGTCCAACATGATGTGCACTGTTTGGCACTGATTTGCCAATTTCCAGTATTTTTGCCCCTTCCCCCGCTTTATGTATTCCCTGATCTAGACTAGAACATGCCCCTTCCTCTCTCACCTCTGCACCTTTGCCTTGGCACTGGCAGTCCTCAACTACTCTGCCTCTCATCTCTACCTCAGTTTCCTTGGCTTCTTTCAAGACTCAGCTCACATCTCATCTTCTGCAGAATTCTCTTCCCCTCCCATTAGGGTCTCCCTGCTAGTGCCCTCCCCTCCGCCACCTGCCTCTGTACCACTTTTTACTGCTCGTCTCTGCTTTTCTGGGCTTTTTGCCCCCATGCCCTCTGTTTACTGCCCTGTTTCCCCATGGTCTTTCCCAGAGAGTAGCCAAAGAACCAGGAGTGCCTGCCCCTATTTCACAATTTCATAAATTAATTATCAATTCACCTATACTAGTGGAGTCCATCCTCTTTGTCCCATCCATGCATTCTCTAGTCTAGTCAAACTGGCTTGCTAATTAACTGCTCCCTGGACACAGAATATTCCCACCTCCCACTTCCAAATCTTTGGATATGCTGGAGTACACGCCCTTTGAAATCTCAAATTTCCTTAAAGGCAGTTCAGGCAGAAGCTATGTTTCTTTTATCTCCTCAGTTGTTATTTTTTTTTCTCCCTTTTGAAATTACTTTGTATATAATTTTATCATAAGCTACCACCCGGAGAAGGTAAGTTTCTGGAGGACAGGGTCTAGGGTTTTTTGTTTTTGGTTGAGTTTTTTTTTTCTTTTTCTGGTCTTTGTAAACCCAGTGCCTAGCACTGTGCCTGCTTGGCACAAATTAGGCATTTAATGAAATATTTGAATTGAATTTCAGTATGAATGTCTGTATACAGTCACACAGTTAAATAATGAGAACAAAGATCAGTATTAACAGCAAATGAGAAGAACAAGAAAGAGAAAGTGTGGCTGACATTTCAAGAGCTCCCATTTAACCTAAAGAATCACAGAGAAAAGGATTAAAGGCACAGACATTGAGAGGCAGAATTTCCACTTCCTCTCTAGATGCTGAACTGTCATTCAGTAATTTCCCCAACAAGAAGGCCAAGAGCCTAGAAACCATCTCAGCCATTGAATGAGATTATCTTGGCATGAAGGGAGACATCAGTAAGGGCAACAACAGTTTAGAATATTATTTTTTTAAGATTCTCTATAGGATCGTAGAGAAGCAGCTGGGCTCAGTGAACAAAGCCCTGGCCTCAGAGCCAGGAAGACCTAGGTTCCAGTCCTGCCTCTGATACACTGGCTATGTGACCTGGACAAGTCACCCCACTTCTTAGTGGGCCCATGTGGGAGAGGTATGCCCTAGCAAAAGGAATACTCTCATTGAAATTTCTCTATGCCAATGCAATCCAAGGTTGGACTACAGAATGGGGGACTGTGGCAGATACCGAGCACTACTATCTCATAAAACAATGAGCAGCTGTGAATGGGAAAATGAATTTACTGAAAACGTATCAAGAGAGCCCATGTGAGCCACCTCGTGCTAAACGTGTTGAAAAGGGAAGCTGCAAGGAACATGGGAACAAACATGTAAGGTGTCATGTGTGCTACATCTATAACAAAGTATGTTCACCTACCATGACATCTATATCAACCCTAAATGCACGCCCTCCCCACTTGGCACCAAACACAATCTCCTGGGAACTAATGGAGAAAAAGGGGTAAGATAGAGGGGCTTCAAAGATGTTAATGTAGAAAACAACTGTATACCAAATCTACATATACCATACAATTGTGATGGCATAAAATTGAAAAGTTTTTGCACAAAGCCAATGCAGCTC